GCTAGCCTTGAGCTGAAGAGCTGAGGGACAGCGCCCAGGCCCAGAGTTCAGGCCCCACGACTGGACAAAAAAAAAAACAAACAAACAAACAAAAACTAGTTTACCCACTTCTCGTTATTTGACCAGTTTATAAATAATTCTCCCACCCTTTGCCCTTTAAATGCCTTTTTTATGGTTTCCTTGGTAACACAAATATTTAAAGGAAGTCTGGCCTGTGTTGGGCAAAAGAGGTCCACAGGAAAGGAAAATGGTTTTAAGGTTCCTTAAAGCAGCCCTACAGCTCTTCAGGCCAGAAATCTAGCACACCTGTCCTCTAGAAGAGTTTAGCCACACCTATCCCACTTCCAGATGACCAGGCTAAGCTTCTTGAGCAAATCCCAGGTCTGGTAGGGCGCTGGTGGCTCACACCTCTAATCCTATCTACTCAGGAGTCTGAGATCTGAGGATTGTAGTTCAAAACCAGCCTGAGCAGGGAAGTCAGACTTATCTACAATTAACCAGAGCTATAGCTCTCAAAGTGGAACTGTGGCTCCAAGTGGTAGAGGGCTAACCTTGAGCAAAAATGCTTAAGGACTGCACGCTGGCCCTGAGTTCAAACCCCACAATCAATATATTTTTTAAAAAGTCCCAGGTCGGTCCAGAATACTTTGACTAGATGTTTCTTTTATTACTCAGCTACCAAGATGGTATTGCCCAATCAGTGACACATCTGCATCTGAGGCCTCTTCTCACTGCCCCAAAGTCAAACCACCAGACAAGTTTTGTGCTTATAACCTCTAGAGGGCCCAAGAGGTGCTGCCAAATGTCCCTTCAATTACTAGGATCTCAAGGATACACTAGTATGGCTAGGGTCTGGGAAAGACCAAGGAAAGAGTAGCAATGTTTGAGACTGGTCCAGTAAAGATCCAGCTAGCCTGGAAATGCACTGATGAGTTCCCAACACCCAATTACCAGCCAGCCTCCCTAGGAAGGCAGACATTCAACTCTTGCCAGAACTGGGCACCTTTATAACCTAAAAGCAACCTCAAGAAGACTTGTTTCTCAATTCAGTGGCAAGAGACCAAAAGGGGAGCAGACATAACAGTTTAGGGCTATTCCAGCTCACAGGATACATACCTAGGAATATAGTTTTTTCCATAAGTAATACAAAAGTTAGTCATATTTTAGAAAGCCTGAAAATAAAATCCATTTGTGTCCTAACACCGGTAATAAGCAGACATATTAAAAACAACAATATTCACTAGCTTGAGCTAAATTAAATTACTTGTCATAGATAAAAATGTCACTCTTCAATATGCAATCATGTGTGTGTGTGTGTGTGCGTGCGTGTATGCATGCCACACCAGTTTTGTGTCTTGAACTCAGGGCCTGGGCACTGTCCCTGAGCTTTTGTGCTCAGGATAGTGCTCTACCACTTGAGCCATAGCTCCCTTTCTGGCTTTTTCATGGTAAATTGGAGGTAAGAGTCTCACAAGACTTTCCTGCCCAGACTAGCTTCGAGTGGAATCCTCACATCTCAGCCTCCTGAGCAGCTAGGTTTACAGGTGTGAGTTGTCAGCACTCAGTACCAATATCCAATCTTAAGAAATAGCCAAAAACCTAAGTCAAAGGGTTACAAATCTCAGCTCCTCAAATGCTATTGATCCAGCTCTTTCTACTGAAGGTGTACCAAGGCTGAGATATATGTACAGGAGTCATTGTGCCTGAAGAAGCCATGGCTGGTTCCAGTTCTAATCTTCACTGGTTCATGTAAATGTATAGTAAGACACTATAAAGTTTAAGGGATGAAACAGTGAGCAAACCTCAACTCTTCCTGAGAATTTAAGAGATAATTTAAAAACCTTCAGAGTAGAAGGAACTAAACAATTCAGCTTAGTTCTTAGTTGCACTATCTTGTTAAAAGAATACAGAGAGTAAATTCATGCACAAACAGGGACCATTTGGTGCAGTTTACACATTCTTTGGCATAAACTGTACCAGAACTTCTAAGGACCTTATGAGACCAGAGTCTACATTATTTAGAGCTTCTTTATGGAAAAACCTGGTCATTGAAATCTCTACTCTCTGGATTAGCCTAGTCTTCAAGACAAAGCCTATTTTCCCATATTTCAAGGATACTTCACTGAGTTTTCACAAAAAAGTGGTGAAACCCAAATAAAAACCTTACTTTTTCTTTAATTTGTTTTGCCAAACAAACACAGTGAAAACTTTAGCCTGACTAATTGTACAGAAAATAGAATTTGTAACCAGTAGCAAACATAACCCAAGTCCCAGGCAAGCTGGCCCTCCATCAGCAGGTCATCCCCTGGGCAAATGCCCCCATGTGTAGGGAGGTCCTAGGAGGCAGAGGCACAGATCAGCTAGTCCCCATCAATATCACAGACTGCATCTGGAAAGAGTAAGCATTTAAAGAACTGATGTTACTTGAATCTCTTATCACTACACACAGCAGAGTTTTCTCAGATTGCTGGCCAAGCTTAATCTGTGGTTTTTCCCCAACCCCCAGTCACTGGGCACCCCACCTTTATCCCTCTAGGCAAGTCTCAAGTGTTTCTGAAGCCTCTGCTTAAGCAGAATCTGCAACATAAACTGGGGAGGGAGAATAGACAGTATTAATGCTGGTGTCACTATTGCAGAGTCTGAGGACCCAAACTCCTGCCTCAAGAGGAAACAAGTGAGGGTGCCAAATCACCAGCCAGTCTAGCTAAGCCTCACTACTGTCAATCAGAATATAGGGGAGTTCAATATCCGCCTGGGGATCCCTTGGGCTGGAAGGGGTCCAGCAGTTCTACAGGCCTCAGGCGTCCCATTCACATTCCGTGCTTCTTCCGGATGACAGCCATGGCAAGCAGGCGATCTTTCTCGCGAAGTTCTTCCCGCAGTTTGGCCTCGGTAAGACGCAGGTGGCGGATGCTCCCCTTCATCTCCTTCATCTTCACTTCCATCAGCGCCAGGATATCCCGCTGTTCATTCAACTTGCGCAGGAGCTCCTCCTCCGTGGTGCCTGATGACAACGAGTACGAGTGGTCGGAGCCAGTATCAGGAAAGCCCTCTTCCCCTACTACCACCAACTGGGGACCCATAGGGCACTCAGCGGCCTCCAATCCCGCTGTTGCAGCCTCTAGCTCCGACGCCGCGGCTGCAGCGGCTGCACCTTCTGCGGCTGCGAACTCCACTTGCACAGTAAGATCGATGGGCTTTACATCATCTCCGGCGGGAGTGGTGGGCGCTGGCGGCGCGGATCCTGGAGCCTGGCTGCTGTCTACAGCGGCCTGAAGGGTGAGGAGCACAGCTGCGGAGGCAGACACAAGGTTCGGCTGCAGCTGGGAGGTCTGAGCGTTGGAGGCGGCCGGAGACGACTGCGGTTGCGGAGGCTGCTGGGGCTGCGGCTGCTGCTGCTGCTGCTGTTGTTGTTGCTGCTGCTGCCTTCGGCGGGCGGCTGCAGCCCCTGCGGGTCGGCGCGCTACTTTGCGCTCATTCACGCCGCGCAGCGGGAAGATGGTGGGAACGCGCACCGTGTAGGTCTTGCGGCCACCCTGGAAGTGAACGCTGCACAGACGGTGGCCCGTGGTGGGCTGGAAGGTGGAGAAGCACCCACTGACGCCGGCACGGGACACATTCTTGAGCCAGAGGCGCCGTAGCTCAGCGTCCTTGGGAAAGGTGTAGAAGTGCAGTGCCTTGTCCCGATGCGAGTTGTTGTAGCAGCCGGGTACGCAGCACGTAAACCCTGGCATGGCTACGCCGCGCGGCCCGGCCCGGCCCACCGGCCTCCTGCGCTCTTCGACGGCCCAGTCGGTCCGCCACCACCAGCTCCTCGACGGGCGGTGCTGCGCGAGGCCTTGGGCAGCCTCTCACTATTGCCGCCCGGCGCAGCCGGCTCGGCCGGGTGCCCCGTGCCCAGAATACGCTTCCCGCCGGCCCGCGCCGCACCGCGCCGCCCGCCTGCCTGCGCTCCGGAGTCTGCCCGGGGGACGCCGCGAAGGACCGCCTGGAAAGGAGGACTACGCCCCCCACAATGCACCGCGCCACACGCCGCTCACTTCCGGGGTGGGGCGTGCTTATTCCGGCCTCTTTCCAAGGGACCGCGACAACCCTTAAAGAACAGATTCTCTTCGAGACCCTGCTTGCCTTCGGTCAGCGAAAGAAACATATTCTACTGGAACGTTGTCGCACGGACTGCCCCTCACAAGGACCCGGAATCTTAATGCGGGGGACGGGGGAGGCCAAACGCGCCTCAACTATGCGCAAGCGCCATGGGTATGTGCCCACGGATACTACAAGTCCCGGGATGCTCGCGAGAACTCCGAAGCTTCAGCCGGGAGCGCCGCCTAAGGGAAGATCCGGTTACTGCGAACAAGGGTGAGGTTCTGCTGCCGGCCTGAGGCTATCTATCCTCTTAAGCCCCGTCTCCTTTCTGGACAGCAAGCTTTTGCTTGGAGGGAAAGGAAATCTGTGCCTCTCTGCCTTGAAGGATCTTAGGAGCCACCATTTCTGCTTTGGGAGATCTCGTTCCACCCAGCCACTGTCAACTTTGAATCACAAATAGGTGCCTACTGTGCGCCAGACTCGGTGCTGTTTTGTGGATACCGGTCTTCTTCCCTTCCCCCTCCCACTAGATGAGCATTGACCACAAGAGATAAGGGCCTTCCTTTTAGATAATAGATGAATAGATGTGAATACACGCCTGTAGACTTGTAGTCAGATAAACGCCAAAATGCAATGAACGTGAGGCCTTCGGAAGGTGGAACGCTGAAAACCTTGGTAGGGAATTACTAGTTCTTACTCCACCCCCACCCGCAGTCTCACCTTGAGAAATCAGTCTTTTGAGTCCCTGAGTCAGGAAAGAGCTAGGCCGGCCATTAAAGAGCCTGGGGCAGCCAAGGCTAACAAACAGTGAGAGATCTCAAACAGCCGTGTTAGAGGATTGGGAATTATTTTATTTTTTTTTTCAATCGTGGAGCTTGAACGCTGGGCCTGGGGGCTGCCCCTCAGCTCTTCAGCTCTCTACTGCTTGAGCCACTTCCGGTTTCCTGGTGGTTAACTGGAGATAAGAGTCTCACGGACTTTTCTGCTCAGGCTAGCTTTGAACCGCGATCCTCAGATCTCAGCTTCCTAAGTAGCTAGGATTACAGGCATGAGCCACTGATACCCCGCCACTTTCAGCCACTTTCAGCTTTTTCTGAGTCGTTTATTGGAGATAAAAATCTCTTGAACTGCCGGGCGCTGGTGGCTCACGCCTGTAATCCTAGCTACTCAGGAGGATGAGATCTGAGGATCGCGGTTCAAAGCTAGCCCGAGCAGGAGAGACCGTGAGACTCCTATCTCCAATACACCACCAGAAAACCGGAAGTGGCGCTGTAGCTCAAGTGGTAGAGCGCTCGCCTTGAGCTGA